ACCATCAGTCACCATCTTCGTCAGTTTGGGCTGCTATAACAAAATACCACAGACTGGGTGGCTTAAAAACAGCATAAATGTATTTCTCACAGTTCTGGAGGTTGAGAAGTCCAAGATCAAGGTGCTGGCAGATTCAGTGTCTGGTGAGGGCCCATTTTCTGGTTCGGCCACCTTTCTGCAGTGTCCTCACATGACAGAAGGGGCAAAGGAACTCTCTAGGGTGTCTTTTACAAGGACACTAATCCATTCTTGAGGGCAGAACTAATCATCTCCAAAAGGCCCCACCTCCTAATACCATCACATTGGGGATTATGTTTCAACATATGAATTCTAGGGGGATTTAAAGACTGTCTTTGGTAGTCACCGATAATCATTCCCAAGAATTCACAGGAACTGGCTACCATTTATTAAGGGCTTGCCAAACTGTATATGTTATTCAATACTCAAACAATCTTGCTGGTCATTCTCAACTGTTCCCAGAAGAGGAAACTGATTCAGAAGTAAGAAGTCAGTTGCCCGAGGCTGCCCAGCTGGTAAGTGGCAAGAAGGCATGGGGACCCAAGTGTGCCTCCCTACGTACTGCAGGTGTTCAAAGCACTGGTCCAGCTATGCTATGTGGACCCAGACATGCAACAAGCACTCTCCCTGTCCCAGAGTGACACAGGCATATTGTGATGAAGACCTATTTCTGCATTGTGCAATCAATTTAGGGCTGTTTTTTCTTTTTAGAGAAACAGAATTGAACTTAGAAAATATCAAAGCACATTATCACATGAAATTTTTTGGGTGTGTGAAGCAGGTTGCCATGCGAAATGAATTTTTTAACAAAGGGATCTTGCTTAGCTCTGTCTCAGACATTCAATGTTTTTAACGGACACGTTGAAGCCTTGTTTATCCGATCTGCAATCTCAAGGCATAGCTAACATGTCAGATGGCCAAATCAGGATCATCAAGAATGTGAACTCCTATGAAGATGGGTAGAAACTATAATAAAATCAAATCTTAACAGTTGGGCATACACATAATCCCACATTTGTGTTCCAAAAATTGACTATGTCAGCACATGATGGGGAAGTGATTTGACAGTAGATCATGTGAAAAAGACCTGGAGCAGTTAGTTGGAGCAAGTTCCACATGAACCAGTGAGAAAAGTGGAGTGTCCAGAACAAGGTCAATCCCCCGACTCAATTCAGCACTGCTATCACCACATCCTGAACGCTTTGCCCAGACGTGGCCGCCACACCACGAGAGCACATAAAGTCATGATGGTGAAGGATGTGAAATCCACAAGCTCCTGAGCGTGCAGTGAGATGCCCTGATGCCTTTATGAGCTTCCTATCTCTAAAGGACTATCAGATGAAAGCAGGTGCCAGCCAGTTCTATGTAGCCTGGAATGGCAGTCAGGGCCTGTCATTGATGGGTCGGAGTTATAGGGAAGGTTTCAGCTTAATTTTATGAAGCTCTATTATAAAGGAAATTGGGTACCTGGGGGCCTGAAGGGATGGAACAAAGTTCTCCCTTGATATTCACAAGCTCAAAGACCACCTTCTTGCCAGAGGACTCCTGTCTAGGGAACATGTGTTGTGGGAGAGTGAGGGCAAAGTAGGGCGTGGTCTGGTTCCAAATCCTGGTTAATCAATAGAATCACTAGTGTTATTAGTTTAAAAAATATAGATTCCAGCCTCACATCAGACCTACTGAATCAAAATCTTCAAGGGTGGGGTTGGAGAATATATATTTTTTGGAAGCTTACCAAGCAGATTGTTCTAGATGAAGAGAGACTAGACATAAGAACAAAATACAATATATGAATCTTGATTAAAACCTGGATTTTTAAAAAAAAGTATAAAAGATATTCTGGGAACACCTAAGCAAGTTTTAATAGAGATTTTTATTACATGATACTGAATTCTTGATAATTTTCTTAGATGGGATATTATTATTTTGGAAATATAGGGTAATGGCTTTATTCTCAGGTGATACAGGCCAAAGCACTAAAAAGTGAAGGGGCATGTCTATAACTCACTTTTTTAAAAACAATGAGTTGCTTTTATGTGGTTCGAGAAAAAAAGAGACAGCAAATAAGAAAAATATTGAGGGGGAGTACATTCATTGTACTCTTCTTTCAACTTTTCCATAGGTTTGAAATTTTTCAAAATAAAATTGGGGGGGAAAAATTAAGCTACCTAGGTTATTCTGATGTGAGCCAAACATGAGGCCCATGGGACAAGATAACCTCTGCTGTTCCATCAATCCAAGAGCCTGGAGGGCCGGCCCAGTGGCTTAGTGGTTGAGTGCGCACGCTCCACTACTGTTGGCCCGGGGTTCGGATCCCGGGTGCGCACCGGCGCACTGCTTCTCCGGCGATGCGGGGGCTGTGTCCCACATGCAGCAACTAGAAGGATGTGCAGCTATGACATACAACTGTCTACTGGGGCTTTGGGAGAAAAATAAATAAATAAATAAATAAATAATTAAAAAAAAAAAAACCACACTTCAAGAGCCTGGAGCCTGACGTCTGATGCGGACTATGTCCTTTGCGGCTTACAAAAGCTGGAGGTTGTGTTGGGGCGTGGTCACAGCTGAGATTCGGAGTCTTGCAGTGTGGCATTAGGCCACAGTGACCCCTAGAGGTACTGTGCACTCAGGGGCAAACCAGACCCTACGCCATGGTGGCATGTTCAGGAACATGAAAGAGAGGCCCATCTACCACCACATCCCCACTGCCCCAAATTATACAGGCCCACATCCAAGTGCGGTTCATCCTCCTTGACCCTCTGATGACCTGACGGTTGGTCCCTGGAGGTGGGCTGGACTGGAAAAAGAAGCACTGGATCCCCTGATGGATCACCTCCATGAATGATGACATCCAGAAAAGCAGGCTCTATTGAGAGGCTGGGCATGGAGGCAGGCAGGAGCAGGAATTCCATGCCTAACGTGAGGCCATCCCTGATCAGCTCCACTAGAATGAATAAAGAATGAGGATCAGGAAGGAAGGTGGAGTGTGCCATGAGGACCCAGGATGGGGAAGGGCACAGAGGGTGAGGGAGTGAAGGCATGAGCAGGGAACAGAACAGCAGACCCTGGGTGCAGAGATGGGGTTAGGGATGGGCTGCTGATGGGAAGTTTCAGATCTGTGATGTTGATGTCAATGACATTTATGTACTCACAAGAATGAGGCCAGGGAACACAGGTGACATGGCAATACTCGGGATCATTCCAAGAGTAGGGCTGCAGGCTGAGCCCAGCTCTGCAGGAAGCCATTCTGTCAACATTCGACTATGTCTCTCCAGCTGGGAGCTATTCAAAGGTCTGAAGGAGGAACAGAGGTTTTCAGTTGTTTGAAAGTCAAGGTGCCAGGACAGAAATGCTAGCAGGTATTTAAACGGCTAGCACACCCATTCTACCTTTGCCACTTGTATGAGGTCCACCTTTGCTGCATACAATACTGGTGAAAGTGTCAATCCAGGGACCAAAGAGCCTGGAGTCTGAAAATAAAGACGTCACTGGGGGTGGAGAGAGTTTAGGGAATGAGCCCCCTCACTCAGATGGGGGCTTCCAGCAGCAGAGCCCACCCAGATCAGCCATTCTTGTATAGCAGCCTTCCCCTCAGACCAGGGACTGACTTCCTGAGCGTAAAAGGAACAGAAGGCAGAGTCCCAGGCTCAGCCCAAGAACTTGGCTGGACTCAGAGAGGGATCGACTGGACGGTGATTTGCTCAGGTTTGGTAATGAGGTGCTTCTTTGATCAGAGGGGCACACCTGATACTGGAGAGGGACCTAGGGAGCTGCTGCATCTGAGTCCAAATAATCAGCCATCCCACTCTGGGAGGCTAAAGTGATCTAAGCTCTACTCAATATTTACATTTTAAAGTCTGTTTTGGAAGGACTCAACGGAAATGTTGAGACAACAATTCAAGTATCACTGTCATATACCAACAAAACTTTTACATATAAAAATAAAGACTGGGGGGCTGGCCCAGTGGCGTAGTGGTTAAGTTTATGCGCTCTGCTTCTGCAGCCCAGGGTTTGCAGGTTCAGATCCCAGGCACGAACCTACGCACCACTCATCAAGGCATGCTGTGGCGGCATCCCATATATAAAGTAGAGGAAGAGGGGCACGGATATTAGCCCAGGGCCTATCTTCCTCAGCAAAAAGTGGAGGACTGGCAAAGGATGTTAGCACAGGGCTAATTTTCCTCACCAAAAAAACAAAATAAAATAAACAGAAATAAAGATTGGGAGACTGCATTTTTTTCTTTATTACAAGCAGTTATCTCTATTTTTCACAATGACCAGGTAGCATTTTTCAAAGGAACTGAAAACATAGGGCACTTTAATTTATTGATCTAGAAATCAAGATTCTCTACCATCTAGGTAGAGAGGCAGGAGTGAGAAAAGCATGGGAAGTAACTCCAAGACTGTTAGAAATTCAGGTCAGAACACAGCACAGTGACAGACCTGGGGGAAAGAAGATGGGGGCTCGCCTCTAGAGATGGGCAGTAGGTACCCAGGACTTCTCCCACAGAGCCGCCCCCTCAGGCTCTTGGAGAAACACCCAGGCCCCACCATCACCTCTCCAACGAGGAGAGAAAGTAACAGATTTTTTGGTCACAGTGACATTTTGTCTCTTTGTCCCTGAGAAGGACTGGCACAAGCTAATGGGGAACAGTGTGATAAAACAGAATGGTATTAATCAGGCTACTGTGTTCTGACCCCCCAACTTCTTTCTTTTTTACCCAGATAAAAGAGCAGGACAAGGTCAATCATTATCATCTTACCTTTGTCTTGAAGCCTTGGCATTTCTGTGAGACAAACACAAAAACACCACAAAAACTGTTCTTGTAATACCACTTGGAAAGATAACAGTGATGGGAAACATTTAGACAAGTTCCTATGCCCTATTTTAAGACATTTTACTGCCTATATTTATGATAGCCTATGAAAGGATTCTGTGTAAACCCAAATCTAGAGATCTGGCTCAATTGTTTCCCCTAGAGATAACTGTCTTTGGCCCAAAGCACCACCTGCCCTATGCTCCCCAGGTAGACAAACAGGCACAAAGCAAGCAAATCACGGGCAGGGATCTGTGGGCACACACCCTTCTTAGGCTCCTTAATCTTGAGAACAAAAAGCTCACCTGGAAAAAAGGAACACATCAATTTGGCACCATCTGGTCACTAAAAGAATTGCATCCTTGGAGGCAAGTAGGGGCTCTGATAAACCCCACAAAGCATTGTCCTCTAACTTGCAAATACCTGTGATTGTTTCTTCCCAAAGAGCTAAGGAGCGTTCAAGTCAGAGGACACTTTGGCTCGATGGCAGATAAGAAACCAGACCCCCCTTACCAAGCAGGCCCCAGGATCACAGATACCCATGCAGGTGTGTGTTTCTGAGTCAGAAGTCTGTGTTAGGAAAGATTTGACTCTACCTCCTGCTGTCTGTCTTCTCTTAGCCCTGCGTGCCTCATACCTTGTGGGTTACTTTTTTTTTTTTTTTTTTTTTATTTTTTTTATTTTATTTTCTTCCTCCAAAGCCCCAGTAGATAGTTGTATGTCATAGCTGCACATCCTTCTAGTTGCTGTATGTGGGACGCGGCCTCAGCATGGCCGGAGAAGCAGTGTGTCGGTGCGCGCCCGGGATCCAAACCTGGGCCGCCAGCAGCAGAGCACGCGCACTTAACCGCTAAGCCATGGGGCCGGCCCATGTGGGTTACTTCTTTAGAAAGGTGAACGTTGGGCAAGATAGCGAAGCCTTAATTTCCTCATGGGTAAAATAAGGATAGTGGTATTTACCTCAGCCGGTCATTGTAAGATAATACATGTAAAGCATTGAGGTTAGTATATAGAACACACTAAGTGAGCAGAAAACATAGTTATGAGTGCTTCTATAGGACAGAAGTGGAGGAACAGCAGATCCATGAGAGGAGGAACAAGAAACAAATATATATAATACATGTGGACAGGATAATGCATAGAGGATTTCTAAAAGCTATCTCTAAGACCAACTCAGGAGCTAGGGAAAGAAAACATACAATATCGGGTTCCAAGAAGGCTGAGCAGATACATCACACTATACAATCTGAAGGCACAAAAATAAAACACTTCACATACTATACATCCAAAGGGACACGAACACAGTGTCATCTTGTGGACACAGTCCTCTTGTTAACTTGACACAAGATCAGCCCTCCATCTGCAGGTGTAGTAATTTCCTTAATAATTAGTTCCCATGTCAAATAAAATACTGACCAGAAAATTTTAGATCTTTCATCTTTCAGGGAGAAATTTTACCTTAAATTTAGGATCCCATCATTTCTTTAAAGCAAGGCCACTGAAATACATTAGCCTGAAGAGGGCATGCCTGCTTCATTACAGATGATATCACACATCTTCTGAGATAAAAACTAAGATGGCTTTTTCTCCAGGATTCCTGACTGCTCCTTAGCTTTGAGTTCTTCTAGTTTCTTCTCATAGCGATTCATGAAATAATCATCCGGTTCAATCCCCGCGTTCTTCAAATTTTCCATGACCTTTTCCAGTCTGAGTACCGATCGGGCTCCTTCAATCTTTCTTGTGCTCAGGTACAGAGTAAATTCCTGGAAATCCAAGAGCTTACAAGTGTCTACAGAGCAGATATTCCTGATATTACTAGTTCTATCCAAATGAGGAAAAAACACCAGTCCTGACAACTTCTCCAGGTCCTGAAGGCTCACTTGGAATTCACTTAACTGAGGCTGAAAGCCAATGGCTTCATTGGGCACCACAAAGGCACCTAGTGCCAGCGGTTCAGCAGACACTGGGCTTCTGCGAGCCAGGATCACCTTATAAAGGTGTGAGGGGACTGCCACATTGTCTTCACCAATCACCTAGAAACCAAGCAGCCATATTAGCAATATGAATTTGTGCTAGCCAGTTCCCAAATTTTTCCTGAAAGACTTTAGATGCATTTCTGAAAATACACTTATAAGCTACTCCACCCCATTCCAATGAATTTAAATTCAACTGTCAAAGGTAATAATAAACCAAAATACAGATTCACAGAGAAAATGAGCATCTAACAGGTAGATTCTGACCATATTCTTTAAAATAATGCCATCCCCAAGAGAGCAGGGATCACATTCTCTGCTCTGTTTGTAAACAAAGGATAAGGGACTGCCATGAGTGAGTCCTCGGATTTTTAAGGGACAAGAAAAGCTGTCATTTTCTCTTCATCTCATAATCAGAACTTCTGGTACTCTAACCATTCAGAGGTCAAAACTGCCAGCTTGGGAACTCCAAGTTCTAGAAAAAAAAAAATATGGTCTTAGTTTATCAAATTCACTAGGGAGCAAAACAGCCTTTAGAGAATCAGTCAGACATACCACATTGGTACTACTATCTCCAGTATCACCCAGACTGTGGCTCATTTTTAAAATTAAATTAAGTAAATGTAAATGCTGTTTGCTCAGAGTTTTGCACACTCTTGGGCCTGCTATCAAACACAGAACTTCTGACTGTGTCATCAAATCAAACACTATGGAAAGGTATCTACACAACGAAGAAGCCAGAGTCAGGGTGGGGCCTGAAAACAAGTTGGTTGTCTGTATAGGTCAGCTGTAATAATGAAATAACATTGTTATAAAATCTTTTCAAATTTCCTTCCAATTGGCTTAAAAGCCCTATCTGTTTTCTGAAAAAGAAAAAGTGAACATCCATTTCCTTAATGGTCTGCGGTAAAATAATACAATCCAACTACAGTATGCTCTTAGTACTACTGCTCCTCCCCAGCCCTTCCTTGGTAAGAGCAGGCATTACTTCCTAATCAAACCTGCCTGCTACAGGAGGTCCTGTTGAGAGCTCAGGTAAGGTAGAGGGATGAGATCTACAAAAGATTCTTTTCTGCTTGTCCCAAGCTCCTATACATGGCACACAGCCTAAGAACTCCACAGCCATCCGCTATCTGGCACGCATGGAGGTCCCACTGCCAAGACCAAATGCAAGGCTGCAGGGAAGACCCATCCATAGGAATGATTTCTATAACTGTCTTTGAAGTTAGTGAAAGTGGTTGGTCAGGGTGCAGTTTAAAGTTTATGAAACCACACAATCTACAGACACAAAATCCACCCCCACCTCCACCCCCACCCCCGCCAACAAGCCATCTACGCAGCTGGGAAAAGAAAGATACTCTTCAAGGCAAAAAACATACTGAAGGTGAACTTGGTGGAGGTTCACAATTCGTCCACAGATCACCAACAGATGGTAATTCAACAATTCAGAGGTCATGTGCCAGGCAATGCTGGAAATACAGTCACGCGCTGTTTTAACGACGGGGATATATTCTGAGAAATGTGTCATTAGGCGATTTCGTCGTTGTGCGACCATCACAGAGTGTACTCACACAAACCTAGATGCTATAGCCTACTAGATACCCAGGGTATATGGTACTAATGTTATGGGACCACTGTCGTATATGTGGTCCATCATTGACTGAAACATCATTATACAGCACATAACTATACAGAAAGGAATAAGCTTCAAAGTGAATGCAGCTGGTGCCTGCTCTCAAGAAGCTTTCCTTTTAGAGAAGGAATCAACACCCACAGCTTTAATTAGACAGAATGTGGTTAGATGCCAAGACAGAGAACAAACAATAGCATTAAGGGGGTGGGTGCAGGGAAGTCAGGGACCCGAACTGAGGGCACAGCTGCAGATGAGCCATAGTTCACAACGGGGGAGAAGTTTAAATGGGCTTCAAGTATTCCAGGCGCTAGCTGGGGAGCCAACAGCTAAGCAAATTCTTGGTGCCACCTGGTGGACATCCTTCATCATTGCAGCACAGTCCTCAGACTCCAATTATAAGAAGCCTTCAAGATCATTCACTTGATTATTTTCTCTCCTCGTGGACTCTCTGTCTAAAAACAAATGGAAATTTTCAAAAATAATGAATTGGTCATGCCCATCTGCTGCCAACCAGGGCTTCTAATCAGGTTGATTAAATTCCAGCCAAAAGTAAAGAAGTTTAACATTTTAAGAGTCACGGCTTTACCTCATGGAAACGTCCCATTTCTATTAGGTTTTCAAAAACTCTCACAATGGCTAGAGGGCCTCCATTGTTACTTCTGAGAAACCTCACGGACACAGAAATTCCTACTAAGAATACAAAGTGTGATTCTTCCACCCATGACCCTCTCACAATATTTCAACAAAGAGGGGTAAATACTATCCCTAGAAATAAAGAGAAAAACGAAAACTTAGCCACTCACTATCTTCTCTGATTCAGTCTGTTCTGTTCTCAGGAAGTAAATATCTTTAACCTGTCTAATATAGGGACCAGTCCTATTTGGAAATTCAAAAAACCTATTGTTTCTTCCTTGAATTTAAGACTTAAAAAAAAATCCTAAAATATCTTAGAGCTATCTTCTTCTTTGTAGACAACTCAACCTACATAATAAATTTTTCTCAATTTTGGGAAAACTGGAAGACTTTCAGAAAATGTTTCTAGAGACTACTAGGGTACTGGGGCAGAATGGTTAAGTGGATTGGCACCCCAGAGACCTGGTCAAGTCTGGCTTTGCCACTAAGCTGCAAGTCACATCCACCAGTATCTTCTTTCTTCATTCATAAAATAGGTAATAGCAATCCCCATGCTGTCTAGCTCAAGAATAGTTATGAAGATACAAAGACATATTAGTTACAAAAAAAAAAAGACTTTAAAATCTGCAAGACCTATGTAAAAAGCTATTTTTGTAATGAATGCCATTCAAAAGATATGGATGCAATTTCATTTGGTAGAAAAGATGGTTTTGCAGAAGGAGAGTGGGGAAACACGGGATCAAGCAAGGTTAGACCAGTTAAAGGTAGACAATAAGGTGTCAGGAGGAGAAAGCAGGTTGGATACAAATGATGCGCTGAACAAAGGATATGAGGGCTTAATATGAACCAAGTCTTTAGTATCAGTAAAGCAATAACAACTCTTTTCATCTAAGATTTAGGTATAAAAATACATTACAAAGGAAATCTTTGCTGCTGTTAAATTACCAAAAAGCACTGAACTCTTGTCAAGATTGTAACAAAAACTGGAAATCAACTGGGAGTGACTGGAAAACACAATATATATAACAGCCATAAAGCCGGCACTCATTCGTGACCTGAAGTTAGTTTTCGTACATGCTGGCCTGAGCTTGTTTCGCTGCATCCAAGAGGCAGAAATGACGATTTGCTTCTCGCTTCCCCAACTCCACACACACAGAGCTGGGCCTTCATGTTGACTCAGTGTCTGAAGAGACTGGCAACAAAAAATACCCAGGCTAAGACTGCCATTTGTCATGTCATATACGCAGCAAGTGTGCCTTAAATGAAATATTAAGCAGCATCATGAGGAAAAAATATGTACCTGCTGGAATCAGATAGATATATTTGGTTACATTCCCCTGGTAAGACAAAAAAAGAAATTCCAAAAATAAAACTGTTGGGCATATCAAGAGACCAAGCCCTTAAAATGTCATGCCAATCAAATGAAAGGAAGAAACCATGACAGTGTGATAAGTAGGGAATCCATACCTGGGAGGACAGAGAAACAAGAAAAGGGAGGGAGTCACAAGGCATGGGAAGTCAACAGCAATGTGGCCAGCCCCTTGTGTTACCTGTAAAGCCTCTGCAAGCGCTTGTGCAGCAGCACAAACCCTGGGAGACAGTGCTTCTCACACTGGGGTACCTGCTCTGGGCAAGCGGAGGGGACTGCCAAGTCAAAGTAAAACAAGCACCATCTTCCCCAACTGTTGGTTCTACTTGGACGTTTAGAGTGTGGGTAAGGAGATACTTAACCAGTAAAATAACTTGTTTTTCAACTGAAACAAATAGATATGGAAATAAACAAAAGATCTGCCTGAAGCTAAAACAGGAGATTTCAAAAAAATTACTCCCTGATCACTTCAGTGATGCCTCAAGATCCCTGCAGGCATGTTTTCAATATCCTCCCCCTCTAGGAGTTGGTGGAAGTTTGGAAAGTAATGCTGTAGAAGGAAAACACCGACTGCTAAGTATTTCTAACATTACCACCACCACCACCAGGTTGTAAAATCTGAGGCTCACTTCTTGTCAGGTCAATTATCATATTCAGGCCAGAATCTTCAGGTATGTTTCACTTGTCTGGAATCAATATCTTCTTGAAACAGGCACACCAGAGAAAGCACATGGATGACCTCAGCTATAACAAAGGGGGTGATTCTGATTAGAGTTGTCAGATGACTCACTTCCAATAAAATCACTGCTACTAATCTTCCCTTAGGCTCACATCCATTCAAGTCCTATGATGCTGTGATCCCTTCCTACATATTCTAACAGACATTTCTGCCTGGCTATAAGGAATCCTCCTCTTGGCCCATTTTTTACTCTTATTTTTGCATGCTAGCAAATATCACTTGTAACTGCTCTCCATCCACACCCTCTTTCACCTCCTGGCCTTAAGCTTCTGTACTTAAAGAGCACAGCAATCCCTTTAACGTAGACTTCTGAGAGCTTCCAAGAACAGTGCTATGAATGATTGGCAATTCTCACACAATCAGACCGACCCATGTTTGTTATCTCCCCTTTGACAATTACTACCTATATGACTTGGACTTGACCCCTCAAAACCTCCATTTCCTTGTCTATAAAATAGATTACCACTACTTTTCTGTGAGGACTGAATGAGATAGCATGTATAAAGCTACTTTCATACTGTGTAGTATATATGGCCCTCAACAAATACCAGTTCATTTGCTTCACTTCCTCCAAAGTAGGCACATATATGCTTCATGGCCTAGATAGAAAACTAAATAAATACCGTTGTTTTTATTAGTTACATTCTCCTAAAATAAGGTTCAGAGTATAGTTGTAGAGAAGCAGT